AAAAAAATTCAAAATCCATTTAATATTAATCTTTATCTCATAGTACAAACAAATCTTTTTTTCTTTTTTACTATTATCTCAATTAAGGACTCATACAATATTTTCTTATCTCTCAATTAAAGAACTAAAGTTAAATAAGAACATCAATTCCTTCCGATCTTACATTTCAATTGTTTTAGGATTATAATTTAGCAACAAATAAAACTAAATAGCACTCTTATTAATTTTTTGTCTAGTTATTTTAACTCGTGCAATGCACGACATTTGATTTTTTATTTTAAATCTATATTATATGATTTTCTTTTGTAATTATTTTTAAGATAAAGTTATTTTAAATAAATGTGAGTTCTAATTTTAATTAGATTAGAGGACATAAGTGTTAGGTTTTTTCCATCATGTATTAGAAAACATGTTTTTGAATTCACCTTGCACCAAAATATATCTCGTCTTAAGGTAATTTTATAGTTTTACAACCCAAAACTGCACTTTTTATGTAGTTTAGTTTGAAAAAATGGGCTCTAATATGTTGTAAATTGAAGTTTTAAAACTTTTCAATTGATCCAATTAAGTTTGAGACTTTTAATTTTATAACATTAATTCTTATCCTTTTTGTTTTATCTTTATTTTTTTTTTTCTCAATTTTTAGTGGTTTGTCGTAAGGAGTGAAACATTTTTAGCTGTAAAAATCCTTATTAGTTAATTGAAAATTGAAATCTCGTAATATGTTTATGTTAAGAGGAATGAAGGAGAGAAACGGGGAGGTAAAGATTTCTTTTATTCTATTATATTGCAATATTTACAAACGTTAAAATTTGATTGGTAAAAAAATCTTCCCATTCCCTCTCCTACTCTTCATTCCCCTCAAGACAAATATACTATTAGCATTTCTATGTTATTAACCATTGATATTGTAATAAAACAGTAATTATCAATTGTATCATATTGCCTTTTGATCTTCAATTACAAGTTCTGATATAATAGTTACAATTGATATTACGTTTTTCTTTTAGGAATTTTTGTACATTCAAAGTTTTTGACTTTCGTACTTGCATGCACTTTTATCTTTGAGTTGGGAAATAATAGTAATATTAAATAATAATAATAGCACTTTCATCTTTAATCTTTAAATTTACCTGAATTTTTTGCATATTATCTCATACATTAATATAGAGATAAATTAGATTCAAATTGATAGTAAATTGTTTCATTTTTTTTCTCTATCATTATATTTGAAATTAATGTTGAAATAATACAATATTTATCATTTATATGTTACATTATTAATTATACAACTCATGATCTTCCATTATCAACTATAATATAATAATTTCAATTAAAGTTACATTTTTCATTACTTAAATGAATCATAATTGAATTTTGAATATTCACGACATTTTGCTTTCCATGTTCACTTACATCTGTCTTCCTTTAATTCATTAACATAATATTTTTGACATAAAAGAAATGTGATAAAAAAAAGTCTCATAACTTTAGAAATGATAAAAGTAAATTTGGGTCATTTAATGTCTTCAATATTACACAAATGATTACTGTACATTGTAATCGTATAATTTGTTCTTCGTCTTCATAAATATAAGGTTTTTATTTCTCTTCCTTGGGTTTCTATTTCTCTTCCTTTGGTTTAATGCATGATATATGTAACTAAAAATAATAATGAGAAAATAATTAAAAAGAAGATAAGAAATTGAAGAAATAAAAATGTTAAACTAAATTATTAATCACATTTGTTATATTTTTATGTAAAAATAATATATATTAGTTTTTATTTTTTAACAAATTTATTTTTTGTAATAATTAAAATAAAATAACAAAATTAGTGTTTAATTAATGCTTAGGGTAGTATTTTATATTAGATATATAGATATAGATATAGTTAGTAATTTTAAATTTATTAATTAAAAAAAGATTTAAATGGTAGATATGAAAAAGGATTTAAGTATAAAAATTTACTCAATTTAATTTTAAAAAATAAAGACAAATTTTCATGATTTATTATTATTTATCTTTCTATATAGTATCTTCAATTGTTTGGTTTTTTTCATCATTATATACTTAGGTTATTGTTGTGCTATTGTTGTGCAGTTTAATTCAAATTTAACAACTTAATATATGTATCTCTTCTGATTTCTCTTTTTCAAATTAACAAATTTTCACGTTATTTTAAACTTTCATTACTTTTTTGTATCCATTTCATCTTTACTCTCTCATATTATCTTCATTTATTTGTGTGTATGGGTGGGTGTATATACATATATAATATTTGTAAATCGCTTTCTATATTTAAAATATATTGTTTCATTATTTTTTATTACTTATCCTTTCTTCTCTATTGTTTTTTCTTAATCATTTATGCATATATCTTTCTATCATTATATATCCTTTTTTAACCAATTTGTCTTCCTCTCCCCCTTTATATATGTTAGAAATAATTTTGAGTCAAAACACAAAAAGGACTATTTATTAGCATTATTATCTTGGTACTTAATTTTTGGTTTACCTTTAATTCACTTCTCAAAAATTTTTGGTGAGACTCTATCTCTCATTTTCTCTTGCTCACATTTTATATTATTATATTTAATGCTCTACCATACATATTATCCTTTCTTTTATTATACTCTCATCTTTATCCTTCCTTCTTAGACATTCCATGTATCTCAATCTATCATTCTATATCTTATTTTTTATCACTTTTTTTTCCCTATTACATGTTTTATTAGAAAAGTTTTAACTCATATCGTAAAACATGCAACTCCTTAGTATTATTTTCTTAATACTTTTTTATTTGCCTTTACTCATCTTATAAAAACATGGAGTTGAGTAAGATTTATTATGACTTTTTAGATGGAAAAAACAATTATTTTTAAAAAATAAGATAAAAAGTAAATAAATCTCAACCATTCACAGTAAGGAGATAAATAGTTAAGATTGTGTATACGCGATGTTTATAAGTAGATCTTAACTCTTCTTTCATCTCTTTTGTCTTTCCTTCTATATTATGTTTTATTAGTCACTCCTTCCACCTCCATCTATCATTAT